ACAATTCCTTTAAATTTAATTTTTCAAACAATTTTTAACACAAAGAAAGTGATTAAACAATATTATATATAAAAGAAATTATGACTGCTGTCAGCACAGGACAAAGTAGTATTACGTAGTTAGTATCAGCAACTTCTTATGCTGAAGTGTACGATGTGTTGCACACCTATTTGCAAACAATTCCTTTAAATATAATTTTTCAAACAATTTTGAACACAAAGAAAGTGATTAAGCAAATTGTTCCCATTAAATTTCGACCACTCGGTGCTAACAGTTTCGATCGAGCTCACAGTAACTGATAGGGGGGGAAAAATTGTAAATTTAACAATAATTCAGCTGACAGAACATACTAAAAGGAGGATACGGGTTGAGATCGACTGTTTGAATGAAGTTAAGTTGATGCTTTTGAGGTATTTATAGGAAGAGTTAGTGAAAAGATCGAATGTTTTAGGAAGAAAAATAATGATGATAATAATAAACAGTAAGTTTGGAGACGTGAGCTTGTAGAAATTCGTAGAAATGAAGAGACGGAATTTTAGATAAGTAATTAAAGAAAAGCCAGCTATTAGTAGAGAATGCGTGCAAGTAAGATAAGAATGAATTTCTAGGTAGGGGAAACAATAGGCGTGAGCAAGATATAAGTTGAAGTATTATATGGGGATTATTGGAAAGTACCGGAAAAGAAAAGATACGATGAAATATAGGTACCTAGTACAAAAGAATTTGAATAAATGAGATATTTACACAGCGACAACGGACAAAAGACACAACTGAAATCAATACATAATTTACTAAAATAATCATAATGCGGTCACAAGCTTTTTAATTACACACACTACCATTACAGCGACGCATAAATGTTAATGCAAACAATTCACATTATCCGTTAGTAAGTAACTGATCATTACTTTCGTAATCACCATCATCATCATAAGGTCATCAGTCTTAAAACTGGTTCGACACGCATCTTCACTTCTTAACCATTTGTGAATAGTAATCTCTACTCTACTCCTCTTCGCTCCTGTTTCTGCTTCTAATAGTTCTTCATGTCTGAGAAGGTCCTACCAACCTATCTGGCCTAATATTTCTTATTCACTTCCATAGCTCCCTCTGTTCTCCTACTCTTTCTAATAACTTCTCATTTCTAACCTTCTCTATCCTCGGTATATCCTAATCATTCGACTATAACAGCACATTTCGAACACTTCTAGCCTTGTCATTCTGTTCGCGAGCATACAAGTGCCTTCCTTTTGTATTCGACTAGACCCTGCGCAATCTTCTGTTTTATATCTAATACTTCTCCTTCTAACCTGAGTTAACCGACTTCCTAGATACCGAAAATCAGTCACTTCTTCTAATTTTTCGTCTCCTATCCTTTTGTAATAAGTCATGTTAATCAAAGTAAGGTGGAACTTGGTTATAACAATATCACTTTTAACGATAACTCTGATGTAACATCATATTTTGCAAATTTAGTACTCCAACCAACGCTGAAAATATTGGTTTCTGTTATTATTGCCGGTATTTTAACTCGTAGACGACTCAGTCGGCAAAATAAAAAGCTGCCCATTAGATTTCAGATCCGTCTTCCTTGATCCAAGTTTTTCTGTGGTTTCCTTGGACCACTTCGACAAATGCTGGGGCATTACTGGCTGGTGGGAATGAAACACAAAAGTTTTTTTTCCCTTGTTAGCCTTTATTGCCTTTACCATACGAACCGCACAGTGCAAAATGTGTTTTCGAAATTGCTCAGTTTGTTTCTTGTAAATTCATGCCATGCACAAGAATCCGTCAATAACGAGACTCAGTTATTACGTCAAAACATTGCCGATCTCTAGCGTGACGCCATAAACGTTCTCTCATTACACAAGTGTGTAATGGTTAATGTAAATTTTTTTATACCAGTTTTAAAGTAGCGGTTAATACAAAATATTTCCATTACTTATTACAAAAGTATTGGATAATGAAACGGAAATGCATTACTTCCTAAACCTATTAGAACGTTTCACTTTTTGGTAGAACAGTAAGGTTTTTATGGAAAAGACTCCGCATTTATCTTTATTACATACCTACTACCACATAAAACTTTCTATCCCTCGGGAACTGTATCTTTTTCTGGATAAAAGGACCCTATGTTCTTTTCTGTACTTCTGACGATGTGTATACAAAATTTCATAATGATCGGTTAAGTTGTTAAGACATTAAATATAATTAAATCAATAAAAAAATCATTTTTAAAATAAACAATCAATATACAAGAACGGTTCACTTTATGATAGGGACGAAGGCCCAGGCCCCCATGGTACAAAAATGTACAGTCTATTTCAATTTGTTAGAATTGTGACCTTGAAGAAATCTGCGAGAAGATAGAAAGAATACACACTACGCGTGAGCAAGACAGAAATAGTTGGAACAAGCTTGAACAAGCAGAGCTCTCGATGGGCGGGCTCAGGAGATTGGCTAGAAATGTACAGTACTAGACGAAAATGTTTAGCAATTTCTTAAAACAAACATGTATATAAATTAACAATAGAAAACAAAGCAAAAGTTTTATAGGTGTGTAGAACGTTAAGTTAATTCACTTGTAATTATTTTTGGCTAAATATGCTTTTAAATAAAGCATATTCTTAAATTTTAACGAGG